GCTTTGGGTTTAGAACCATAAATTGTCCGAGTCATTTTACAGAAGTGTTGCTGAGAAGTCTAGTTAATGAGCTTTAGAATTCAGCTGGGATTGTTTCATTTTCTCATCATTTGTTAAGTGCTAGGAGTTAATAACGAAGCTGGAAGATTCTTGGTATACATTATTAGTGTTCAGGGAATTGGTAACCTTCAATTTGGCATGTTTATGACGCAAAGGAATGCTAATACATACTTTGGCAGTTTAACACTTGTTCAGTCCTTAAATCAGATTGTTGAATAGAATTGTTAAAATGAGAAATGGTGTAATTTTATGACAGTGAAGTGACTAAGGTACATTTTAATTTTGCATCTTGGTGTTAGGCTAAGTTGTAGTAAGTCAGCATTATGACTTCCAACAGGGCAAGTAGTTCAGTGAGCAAAAATTAAAAGAGCCAAATTTGTATGATGGACTTCTAACTCTGGCCTACAGTCTGTCATCGAAGTGTATAGACAGTTGGTTATGCACCAGGTGGCTTAAACAAATTGGTGGGGTGAAAAGATTTCATCAGAACTTTGAAGGCACCTGTGGTGTTTCATGCCTGTTTGTTCACTACCACAGGAAGTGCTAAAGTAGTACCTGTACAACCTAAATAATCACCCTTTCCAGAGTGTGCTGGCTATATAATTTGGTTTGAGATTAATTTTCTTATGTTTTCTCATGATGCTTATAATTGTTCCACATTTGAAATGCTTGTAAATCTTAGTTGGATTATAATATATGAAGCTTGTTAGAAGTAGCTAATGCAAAGTTAACCTATTTTGATTTTTGTTACAGTGCTAAGATACTATCCCAGATTTTGAATAGTTGCAGAAAACAAGTAAAAACTAAAGCACTTGGATTTAATTTTTTGCGTCCTCTTCCCCCCCCCAGTAATTTAATGTTTTCTAAGATGAGGGGGAAAGACGACATGGGGATCTTAAAACAAAAATCATCCAATGGAAACGGTGTCGACATAGCCCTGTGCCATTTTATGGTCGGCAGGAGGTATGGCTGACTCCCAGGCACTAATCACTATTTAAATTTTGGGGTGGTTTTCTCTTACGATCAAGTTAGAGCTGAAAAAAGCTGCCAAGGTACAGAAGCTCCTATCTAATTCACATGTTCTCAGAGTTATAATCGGTCACCTTTGGTTTCTTTTTAATCCAATTTATTTCTAGACTCAGAATTGGAAATGTGTCCATAACAATCTTATTTGGAGAGGTGATCAGCTTCATAGTTTAAACCAGCAGTTCTCAACCTATGGGTGGGTTGTAGCCCCTTTGGGGGTTGAATGCCCCTTTCACAGGGTCACCTGATTCATCACAGTAGCAAAATTACAGTTAAGTAGCAATGAAAATAATTTTATGGTTGGGAGGTCACAACATGAACTGTACTGTAAAGGGTCGCGGCTTGAAGGTTGAGAGCCACTGGGCTGTCTTAGAATTTATCATTTGTCTTTCAAGTTAGACACTGACTTGAACACTCACTCGGGTTCTAATTTATAGTAGCATTGAGATACCTTGTAACTGGGTTAGTGTGGCTAGCTACACAATTTTGGTTGCTAGTTGAGCACTAACTGTTCACTACAATAAAACGTGTTAAAGTACCTGTACAACCTAAATAATCTGACCCTTTGCAGAGAGTGCTGGAAGATACGTGATGCACTTCTGGTTCTTGAGCTTTCATATGGGATCGTTTCCCTTCAAATCCATAGGTTTTTCCACCACCGGTGTTTGCAGATGTGAGATTGTCTTGGTTAGGTTAATTGCATTTTTTGTGTGTTGGGTATTCTTGACTTTAATTCTGTCAGCTTGCTCTTTTCTGTGGCCCTCTAACTGAATGGTGTCCTTGCTTCTCCCCCTGGTTTAGCACCTCTTGACATCAGTTTCCTGTTTTCTGGAATTACTAATTTGAGTGTGATCTCAACATCGTTCCCTATTTCTTCACCCCAGTGAGTGTTAACACTTGTTGGCACAACGTTTCAAATACCAACACATTTGTAATTTCTAGGAGTTCCCCCTACTCAATCTGTTAGAAGTAGCAGTCTATTCTTACATGACTACTGTTTTTTTCTCATTACTGATTCTTAATCCCTATGTATATAGATAGGGTTGCAATGAGTCCATTGACTATGCCAGCCAGGTTTCTGTTTTTTTCCTTTTGTATATTTTCAGTTTGTTTCCTTCAAATACTTTTATCTCTTGTTGCTTTTGGTGTGTGATTTTTTTGAGTGGAATTGGGAGGGACTTTTCAACTGTCGGATCACTGTTGGGTAATGTAGCTGCACTATTTTACTAAGGAACTCTGACAAATCCTTGGAGTTTGGCCACCCCCATTCCTTCACCCAAGCTGGTTTGATTCCCCAGAGAAGGCTACTCCTGCCTGAAAATAAACCTAGCTGTTACTGTTGAGCTCCTACAGAAGGAGCTGCTCTGGATTTGTGGACTCAGTGACCCTATAGGATGGCAGAAACTGCCCTGGGAGTTCCAGAGGCGTTACAGGAGTAAAAAGCTCTGGTTTTCTCGCATGGAGTGGTCACACTATATGTCGTTTCCACACAACACTACTCAAACCTCATGAGAGACCAAATCTCCAGTCTTGCGCCTCAGTGGCCTAGATAGGTACAGAGGATCTGGGTTTTTGTTTTTTTAAAAAATAATTTTATTAGGGGCTCATACAACTCATCACAATCCATACATCAATTGTGTAAAGTGTATTTGTACATTCATTGCCTTCATCATTCTCAAAACATTTTTTCTCCACTTAAACCGGATCTGGGGTTTTAACTGTAAAATAGATCTTCAAACCTTAGCCCCACTACCTATTTAGGATGATAATTTCTAAACCTTTGGGAGGGTTTGGTGTAATCCTGTATTTTCAATGCTGACAGATTGCTAATTTTCTGAGGTGCTTTATTCATAAGCTTCGTAGCTTTGGAAATTTTATTACTGGTTTTTATCTTTTAAGATTTTATGCCCTCTTCCCTTTAAAAAATTGCTATG